AAGCAGATCCAACAATATAATCACGAAGATGGATAGGAGGTTAAGTTACCCGGCGTGGTCGACCCGTAGGAGGATCGGTGGGAGGAAGAACCGGTGGAGAAGGAGGTGTGGTAATAAGAGGTAGACCTTCAGGGAGAGCAGGCTGGACGGGATCAGGAGTGAGCAATGGCGTCTTGATGAAGGAGGAACCTGTATCAAAATCAGCAGAGAAAAGATCTATGGAAGGATTAGTAAACAGTACAGGAGTGGAAAGTGCGGGTAAGCGAAAGGAGGATAGCGAGGAAAACATTTGGTGCTCCCAGAAAACGACATGGTGGGAGATACGAAGGCGTTGAGAGAGAGGATCCCAACAGCGAAAGCCTTTATGTTCAATTCCATACCCAAGAAAGCAACAAAGATGAGAACGAGGTTCAAGCTTGGTGTGTTCATGGGATTGAAATAGAACAAAGCAGGCAGAGCCAAAAACCCGGAGATTGGCGTAAGGAGGGGGAGTGCCATGCAGACATTCAAAGGGAGTTTGATTATGGATGACAGGGGTAGGAGCACAGTTGATAGTGTAAACAGCAGTGAGGGCAGCTTCCCCCCAAAAGTTTTCAGGGCAGGAAGAAGATAGAAGGAGAGCGCGAGTAGTGTCAAGAATATGCCTATGTTTCCGTTCAGCGCGGCCATTTTGCTGGGACGTGCCAGCACAAGAACGATGAGGCAGTGTACCATGATGCTGAAGAAAGGAAAGGAAATCAGAATCCCAATATTCCATAGCATTGTCAGAGCGAAAAATTTTGATGGCTTTGGAGAATTGGGTGTGGACCATTTGGGCAAATCTATAATAAATGTGTTTAAGTTCAGACCTATTTTTCATGAGAAAAAGCCAAGTAAACCGGGAAAAATCATCAATAAAAACAACAAAATAGCGGGATCCCCCCATAGTAGTAGTAGGGGAGGGTCCCCAAATATCCGAATGTATAAGATCAAAAGGTGCAAGGGAAACAGAAGTACTTTTATTAAATGATAATGCAGGTTGTTTGACAAGTTGACAGGGTATACAATCGAAATGATCGGGAATTACATGACCCAACTGTCCACTAGAAACCAAAGACTTTAAGCGATTAACAGAAATATGCCCTAAGTGATAATGCCAAAGATGAAAGGGAGATAATGAGGAAGTAGATGTAGGAGTAGCGATCTGAGGAGAGGCAGGAACATGAAGGTGAATGAGTTCATAGAGACGTCCACGCTTACGGCCGATCCCAATAGTCTGCCCCGTCTGAGGGTCCTGTACCAAACAATCAGTAGCAGAAAATGTGACAGTTAGATCAAGTTCACATAATTGACCAATGGAAATAAGGTTTAAGGTGAGAGCAGGGATATGATAAACTTGAGGTATAGATAAAGAAGAGGTGGAAACAGTACCAATATGACGGACAAACATGAGGGAACCATCAGCCGTATGAATTGAGGGAAAATGAGGAGAGGAGGAGAAGGAAGAAAAGATAGTAGAACTGGAGGTCATATGATTACAACAGGCTGAGTCAAAATACCAAGAAGAGTTACCTGGGGTTACAGACAAAGCAGTAGGAGGAGGTGTACCAGAAGGGGAGAGAAGTTGTTTGAGCATGGCCTCTACATCTGTCGGAGAAAAACGAGGGGTAGACGGAGCAGGTGACTCAGAAAACCCCGCAGAGGCAGAAGCATCAGTGTGATGAGACTGATGCCCGGAAGCAGCAGCAGCAGTGTGATGAGACTGATTCCCGGAAGCAGCAGTAGCAGTGTGATGAGACTGATTCCCGGAACGATGAAAGCTTTCCCGGGAAGAGCCACCGCGAAAGGAGTGGCTATTAGAGGATGATCGGGATGGATTGCGAAAATAATCCTGTTACGAATGACCAGGACCAAGTTTGTTGCAGTAGTGGCAGGATCTGACGGGGCAATTGACCAGGAGATGGGTTGAAGGAAGGCCTCGATTCTGACAATAGAGGCAAGCAGTGGTCCGCTAGGTAAATGATGGCCGGTGCGGAGGAGTGGCAAGAACAGAGTCCACATGATGAGTTTGAAGTGTACCGAGATGAGTCTCCTCTGATAGCAACTCAGAAATTGCTTGTTCAAGAGTGGACAATGGATGGCGATGAAGCAGAAAGGCACGTACGGGCTCAAAAGAGGAAGTAAGAGCCATGAGAAAGTGCACCAACCTTTGCTGGTTGCGATAGATAGTAAATAAAACAGTATCTTCGTGGTTATGCCAAGTTGGTTCTGAAAGAGCAAGCTGATCCCAAACAGAGTACATTTGAGAAAGGAAGTCATTAATGGACTGAGTGGATTCTTGGCGCATGCGGTGAAGTTGGTTCTGAAGTTGATATTGATGGGCAAGACCAGTAGTCTGGTATCGTTCTTTCAAAAAATCTCAGATGTCTTTTGCAGGAGTAATTACAGAGTCAAGCTAAAAGCGACCAAACTGAAGACTGATAGAGGTAATACGAAATCAGGTAATGATTTGGTAATTCTTACTGTCCCATTCCTCAAGTCGGTCTTCATATGTAGTAGTATGAGCAGTAGTTTCATTAGTGGCACTGTCTTTCACCGGTTTAGTCACATCCCCGGTGACAATTCGCCAGAGCTTCTTGCCTTTGAGGAAGGAGGACATGGCTTGGGCCCATAGAACATAGTTGGAACCATTCAAAATAACGGAAATGGGATGAGAGGCATCATGACGATCCATAATAATAGTTGAGTAGGGCTAAATTGATAGGAATAGACCTGTAGGAGCAAAATTAGGTAAAACAGAGTGTACCAGTGAGTCCGGAAGGCCGAAAATAGCTAGGAAAGGTGGGCTGTGTAGAGATGATGTCAACAGGATGGAAAATGATGTCAGCGGCGCACGTTAGAAGAGAGGGCGTGCGGCGCACGGTAGCAGAGAGGGCGTGCGGTGTATAGTAGCAGAATGGCGCACGCGGGTGCACAATAGCGGAACGGCGCACGCGGGTGCACAATAGCGGAACGGTGTACGCGCGGCTCACAGTAGACGAATGGCGCACGCGGGTGCACGGTAGCAGGCGCGGCGCACGAAAGGGCAGAGTGGAAGGCGCGTGAAGGCGCGTGTGAGCGTGACAACGGAAGCAGAGACGCACCGAGCAAAGAGGCGGTGCGTGAGAGCGCGTGAGAGAGTTTCTGGTGACGGGCTTGGTGCCGTTGGAATCGTAAGGAGATTCCGAGCTGTTTGGTGTAGTTCCACTGTGTACGGGACTAAGCACCAAAATTGAAGAATGCCAGAATTGTATTACTGGGCTCTGATACCATGAAAGATTATGGAGCT